CGCCACTGTTGGCGCAGAAAACGACATGGACCCTTTTTCGCATTTCTCTTGGAAAGAGTCAAACCTAGAAGTACGTTTTTAGTACCTTTAGTACTCGCACCTTAGTTGCCAGATTGGGTCAACACGCGGAACGCGCCGCTAAAGTACGAACTGCATTAAACGTCTATGAAAACTTCGTATATTAAAAGCATGCTAAAAATACCCCCTTTTAGTTTCATAAAACTGTAAAAAACTAGTACACTTTTTTTTTTTTTTTTTTTAGGGGATATCTGAAATAATTTAGACAACGCAGCAACCCCTTTCAACGAGAGTCCGGTATGCCTCAAGTGATATCACCTCTGAACGCCGCTCATCCGTCAAACAAATATCCACGACGCAGTGTTAAAAAAAAGAAAAGGAAACGAAAAGTGCGTCCTTTTAGAGTAGAGAGAGAATTTAAATGGCGACGACCGGCCAAGCAAAATCAACGCAACAAAAACCGTGTGGGGGGGCCGACGCAAGGGGACACACCGGAAACGGAAGTCGACCCCCCCCCCCCCTTCCCCCTCCCAACCGGTAGCCGCTTTGGTTTTGCTGCGCCTAAACCTATCCGTGGGAGAGGAGGATTGCGAGGATTTCCGGCGTAAGTAGGTAGTTGAGAATCTGGGGGTTCGGTCCCGTTTTCGGTGAAGTTCCGACCAAACGCCCAGAACTAGCAAACATCGACTGTCAAACGGACGCGCAATCACGTGCTCGACTTCAACACCAGTATCTTTCTAAACGACGTGTCAGGGATCATGTCGTTTAACACCCAAAATTGGAACGCAGAAAAAGAAAAAAAAAAGAAAAGTTAAATCTTATAGTCGCCTTGGCGCAACACATCGCATCGTTATCGGGGGGGTCGAAACGATCTACTAAAACTCCCTATCAGAACGATCCACTAAAACTCCCTATCGGACAGTTTTAGTAGATCGTTCCGAAGGCTCCGATAACGATACCCGATACCCCGCCGACGCCTTTGCGCATGCATCGTATCGTTATCAGGTATACCGGTATTAGGGAGTTTTAGGGAACCGTTTTTGCACACCCGTTACGGTACGAAACGATGGGCCCTCCGGTACGAGCTGCGCATGCGCGGGTCTTCTGTGGTTAGTGCACCCGCACTTCGTGCCGGAGTGCCCACCGTACTCTATCGGATGTGCAAAGTCGGTTACCTAAAATTCCCTATTGCAGGTATCAGAACTATCTGTACTGAAACTCTCTTGACGCAAAACAGGGGTCCGGGGCGGGGGCTGCGAAGCGCAAGTAATTTCAATCGCGCTAAATACGAGCGATATCAGAGCCTCGCATCGTATTCTCTGACCGTGTAAGCGAGCGCTTTCATTACGAAGTCGATGCTCCACGAACTAGGGAGCGCGACTCTCGCACCGCGGCGCCACCAACGCTGAACGCTGCGGACAATGCACCGTCGAGAGAAGAAACCCCGCGAACTTTCGCTAAACCCGAAAGTTAGCCCATAGTTCGGCGAACATTGGACCTTTTGGCGAAATTATACGAAGTTTAACAAACTGCACCAGACTGCTCATGCGTCATACAAAAGTGGACAGTGTCCGGCGTTGCCCGTTCGTCAAAACGAGACCTTTCACTTTCGGGAAAAACTACCGCGTAGTAGTAGTTGTTTAAGACTTTAGAGCATGATGACCAGGACTCGCACGAACACTCGAAAAACAAGCATATACATGTTTACTGATTTAGTTAGTATGTTGTACGAACGCTGCACCCTTCCTCCGTCAGGCGGCGCCAGCTCGTTTTCAATCTATACGCGTGCACACAACAATAACTTTTGTCAAACATTGAAATTGAGCCCTTGTTTGCAGCATAGTCTCGAGCTCGACGGGCGCGCGCTCGGACTCCAGCGAGGATGCCGCAGCCGACCACGCACGGCAAGCTGCCCGCCAGCCCAGCGCAGCAGCGGGAGCGAGCGTAGCAGACGACGGCGGCGGTGGCCTTCTGCTTCTGACGGTGCGACGGCCGACCGAGAGGAAAAAACGAGTTCAAAGGCCTCCTTGCGCGGACTCGGAGCAACAACGATCGAAGCGCCGACAAATCCTGGCGGCCGCTGGCCCAAAACGGGCGCAGGGCCGTCGCGTGGCAGCCTTCACGTCCGCCTCGCGCAGTCTTCGTCGCCTGGACCACACCGTTATCCACAGAGACGCGCTAGTTATCCGTTACCGGTCGTCCGGTAGCAGACGACAAACAACCTCCGTCGTCTGCTGCGTCACTCTCCGTCGTCTGCGTAGCGGTGGCAGACGCAAACAGCGTATCTGATGCCTCGTATGCCGCCGTCTCGTCCGCGGTGGCAGACGCAAACAACGTCTGTCCGCTGCGTCATTTTCCCTCGTCTGCGGCGTAGTAAAAGATGAAAGTCTGCGTTTAGATTTCTCGTTGTCTGCTACGCAAATCTTGTTTCTTTTCGAGCCCTCGGCTGTCGAAGGGGCGAGCGAGTAGACTGAATTTTGCCTTTTCTGTTTTTAATAAAATCCGAGACAACGGCAGGCGAGGGTCTTTGGATGAAGCTTACTGTTTTTATCCATTATTTAATCAATTATATACACTCCATCATCATGAGATGTCGCGTTTCATGCAGCTCCTAAATACGTCATACTATACACTAGTATTAGATATAACTGCATTTGTCACAGGCCGTTAGAGCAAAGGTCTGGGCAAAATATGAGAAATGTTAGAAGGACTGCGTTCGTAAGAAAAAACCTAACTTGTGTGGTGATTATATTTTTCGTCTGTGGCGAGAATGTTATATAAATGAGTAAACACAGCGTCTATCTCGTCTTGATCATTAAAGGAATGCCGGACATCAATTAATCCAGGAGGCTATTAAACTGGCACAATCGCACAGGTGTTTGGAGTTTTGTGTTGATAGGTCCCTTCATCTACTTGCTGCAGGATTTACTATGCCTATTGTAATCATTTTAATAATTTTGGATATTTTAGAGCTGTAGAATGGAGTGGCTGCAGAATTTTTGCACAAAATGAAGTATGAATGTATAATATAACATTTTCACGTAAAATTTCACGTCCCCATTTTAAGAATAAGCAAAAAAAATAAAGATACGCATGAAGTTTCCGGCAGACCATTATTCAGTAACCTCAATGATCCTTGGAAATAAAAGTAACTCGGTGATCGCCTCGCTATCGGGCAGCCTACCTAACGCATCGAATATTTTTCTAAACCTTACGCATTTACACCACAGACAACGCTTTTCGCTGTTCTGTTGTTTTTAACGCCTTCTCGATGCGCGGGCACAAGCCAGCAAGCCAGCGTCTGCAATAACACCATTTGAAAAAAGGCGCTGTCGGAGAGAGGGGCGCGCATGCGCAAAACGAATTTTTCTACCTTTTTAGTTGCCCTCGCTCGCGCAGCGGCCCACAAACACAAACAAAAATGCCCGAAAACAAAGGCTAACTCCCTCGCTACCTTTCCCGAAGAAAAGTAAATCTACGCAGAGGGAGGGAAAGACCCCTCCCCTGCCGCCATTTCGCAGAATTTTCCCTTCCTCCACCCCCCTCAGCTGGTTGGCCTCCATTTTTCAAAACCCTCGCCCGCGCGCCGTTTTCCACCTCCTTTCCACAATATTCCAGCTCCCGCTCGGAGCATGCGCAGAGCAGACGCGACGCGCTCCCTTCCCGCCATTTTTCTTTGCGCGTCGTCTGCTCTCTGCGCGAGTGCTTTTTCTTGGCTGCTTTATTTATTGCCGCCTGCGCCGCTCTTCCCTCGCCGTCCGACCTTTTGCTTCACCGTTTTTGCTTTGTGCAGAAAAACTCCCCCCTTCCCTCCGTCCTCGGAGGGAGCAAGTCAGTCGCGCGGGCCGCGATATTTTTCCTCGGGACCCCACCGCCACAATTCCATCGCTGGGAAGGGAACTACGAAGCGGTCGCAGCGTTTGAAAAATCTGCCGTTCCTAGGAATGACTCGCGTTAATTCGCGTCTGGCCTTTTCGACCAATCACCGATAAACTCGAGTGCTCCCACAACTCGAGAGTAATTAAAAAATCATGGGCAACGTATGGGTAAAATAACAAACCTTGAGTGGCACAAAAAAAAAAAAAATCTTATATTAGCGGAAATAACTCCACTGAATTTCTGTCATCTAATGTCAAATTTCTTACATGACAGTTGATACAACGGTTAGGTAGCCTTGAAATAGCGTCAAGTGCTCCTGCTATCAGTGGGTAGTTCGACCAGTGCAGAACGCTACAGTAGAAACTACACGATTGAACGATACGGAAACCGCCAGGCGTCGCGATTGAACCATGCTGTTTCGTTGGGTATGAAGGCATTTTAGACTGAATTAAATTATAAGCTTGTTTTTTATCAATTTTTTTAATGACAGATCTTTGCTGACTGACGCTACGAGCCAGTCCGAACAGCCGCAGTAAAAGCGACCGCGTGTCGAACTCCTAGACAGCAACCAGCTTCACTGCCAACACAGTTGATGCAAAGCTAGCGCCACCTCGTGGTCGATAGGTAGTCCCCGTCTGAAAGCAACGGGACCGCGCGCACCGCGCTAAATCGGCCTCGGAGAGGAACAAGCAGCAAAACGAAACTGAAAATAAAAAGAATGAGCGGAGCTCTCGCGCATGCGCCGTAGACAGCGCGCAGCAGCCCATCTGCCAGCTGATGGAGGGGTGACGCACGTGACTCACCTCGAGAGAGCGACGCCAGCGCCCTGATAACGAAGGCGGATGCCAGGAGAACTAAAGCACCGGCGCGGCGCCGCGCTATGACGAAGGCGGCCGGATTTCTCAGCTGGTGCAAGCGAACTTGCGCCGTCTGCTCGAGCGGCTGACTTGTTGATCCTCGCTAGATGTAAGGTGAAACTTGTCTACGGCAAAGTCTGAACGGCGGTTGGTTTGCGGTCAATGAAATTAGCAGACGACTTTCTTCGCACCAGGCGCCATGTTGGCTTTCCCCAGACAGAAGGAAGCAAAACGCATTTAAAAAAAAAAGAATAACCACAACTATTTATTTGTGGGGGATGAAACGGTCTTCTAAAGCGCGGTGTTTTCGAAATCTGCGCTCGTTGGGGAAACAGGAGCTGGGAGAGTTTCCGTTGCACAGCGCCGACGAAGCAGTTGTCAGGACTAGAGGGCCAAGCCAGACACTGGTTGTCTGCCAGGCACGGCAACTGCAAAGGCACGGGGTAGCGCAGCAAAGGGAGGGCTCGGCCACGGGGAAAACAGCGCCGACTTTAACGGGGAACCACGGAACACGGAAGCGGCCAAAGGCTGGCCTCGCCTCTCCCCGCAGACCGGCTGTCCTACGGTAAGAAGCTGGATCCAACGAAAAGACAAGAGACGGGCTCCGAGTTAGAGACCCAGCAAGACCTGCCCCGATGATTCCAGAACAAATAGACACCAACAACACGCTCATCGGTACTGACTAAAACTATTCGACACTGTGGAAAAAAAAAAAAAGAAAGAAAAATGCAGCCTAGACAAAAAAATTTGCTGAAAATACAAACGCACATCAGAAAAACGTTGTGACATGTATTTTGTAGACGAATATTCATCCAATCGTAGCCAACCACGACGTGGTCGTAACGCGTATAAAGTTAAGCAGGAACAAACAACGAATATTGCAAACCTCAACATACGCAACACAGCTTTGCACAAGCCAATGAAAAACAACTGCCGATCAAGTGCGAACAGACTGAGCCAGATTCAGGACCCAAAAGCCTAAAAGCAGACGACGCAAAGCAGACGCCGGTCGGATCCAGTGAACGCAGAAACCACGGCTCCGTGCGGTGCTGCCGCCTGGAGGCAACTGCACACACTAGTTACCAGCTCCAGCGGCGCAACAGCCGGCAAGACCGGTCGCTTTTTCCCAGTTGGCGTCAGCTGAGCTGAGCGCAGTGCTGCCCGTTCGGAACTGCTAAGAAACATTCTTTTGCAGTACCCGGCCAACGCCGCCCGAGTTTGTTCCGTCAGCACCAGTAGCGTCAATCCTGGCTCCCGGCGGCTGCTCACGTGGGTTGTCTCCAGATATGCTTTACTAAGTACCCGCAATTTCAAAAAAACGGAAAGGGCAGACTAGGCCAAAATTTTGCTTGCCTCTAAATTCGAGACACTCGTAGTCTTCGACTTGTAGCCCCACAAACAACCCATTTTTCCTTTTCTTTTTTTTTTTCTACCGTTGTTGCGGCGTTTTTAAGTCACAACTTTTAACGTTATACTGGCCGTTACATGTTCACATCACCGCGTTTGTCAAAAGTGAATCACAAGTTCGTCGCGAAACATGTTTGACGTCATAAATAAAATCTCAAGACCTCGGAGGCTGGTCGGATCAACAACTACACGATCGTACTCGTCTCATAGTTTTGCTTGGTCGGTACTTGGCCAGTTGCGAAGGGGACGCGCGATTTCACAAGAGCCTCTCCCAGCATCGCGCGCGAGGTCTCGACTCACGTCACGTCCACGAGACGCAAGCATGCCTCCTCGGTTTCGAGCCCGCGGTTGTTGACAGTCCCGAACAAACCGGACCAAACACCAGATCACCCCAAAGAACCAACTTCCACAACGTTATTGGAGCCGTAGCACCGAGCGCGACGGACGCTTATCAAAACGGAAGGGAACAATGCCTTCCACCGAACGCACACGGCAGCAAAGTCAATCACAACTCGCTGTGCCGTTGCTCTCGAGATAGGCAATCAATCGGCCGCTGTCTGCAACATCAAGAGGCAACGAAAAAATAATAATAATAGTAAAAAGAAGCGTAGTCGCGCGCGCGGGACATTCGCTTCCAAAAAAAGTGTCCGGCGGGCGCTCACCTTAAACCTGCGTGCGTGCAGCGGGCTGACTTCTACCCCCATGCCATAGGCGTCTGGTGTCGGCGGGCACAGGATGACGGCCGGACGATTTCGTCTGGGAAGTCCTTGCCTCCTCGTGATGAAACAGGCCAGGGAATAGGACACGCACAAATCCGGTGAGGCTGGACCGCCTGTCAAAAGCGGCAACCGAAGCGCGAAACAACGAAACCACGCACACGAGAGCGCCGCGCTGCCAGCGAACAACAGCGCTACCGCTCCACCGACTGGCTGATCGCCCACTGAACGCGCGCGCCGGGGAAAAACGCGTTCGCAGTCGACGCCGACCGATGGGGGGGGGATCCCCCCTCCTCCCCCCCTCCATTTCCAGCGTCCCGTGGAGCCCCGCGCGACTGAGTCACGTGGTAGCGTGCTGACCAATGGGGAGAGGAGAGATGGTCTCGCCGTCTGGCGGGGGCTCGGGGAAGCGCGGAGTGAGGACGACCGCCATGTTGTTGCTCTGCCGCCGTCGGCCGGTGTAGGGCTGTGTGGGCGAGGGACGGCAGCTTGGGCGAAGGTTGCGCGGGCGACTACGTCGACGTGCGCTCGAACGCGCCAGCGTCGGCGGCGGCGGCGTCTCCGAACGGATCGCGCAGGGGCTCACCGTTCGCGAGCGAGCCGAACGCTCGCTGTATCGGGCTGTTCACTTTTTTCTCGAGTGGCTCGCGGCAGAACGGCGCTTTTCGCTTTCGTTTTTGGGATGTTTTCGCCCGCGCTCGATCTGACGGGGAGCTCGCTAGAGAAGCGGGTCAAGTTGGCTTGGCGCCTCCCCGATGATTCCATTGTTTCACGCCCAAAAAGAGAAAATGACGTGAGAACGCCGCGTATTCGTCTTTGTTGATTTCTAGAGTGTTGAAAAAAGAAAGGTTATGCGGTTTTCACGGTATTTTCAAGATGGGCAGACCAACAGACAGTCGCCGTCCCCGAATACAAATTAACCTTTGCAGTCCTAATTCCCAAGTCAAAAGTTAATGAGCGTTTTTTTTTTATTCGAAAAAGTTAAACGATGTAGCTCGTACTCTCTACGCAATGTGTTGAGGCTTAGTAGAACTACAATAACGAACCATTAGCGAAGGACACCTGGTGTTCAATTATTGCCGTATGTTTTACATAAAGTAAGTTTACTCGTGCTCTCAAATTTTTTTATAAAATCTAAGACACGCATTTGCGGGACATCATGGTAAAAATTATTTATTGGCGTTTTTTGTTTACCCGCAGTTTTTAGTGTACCATATTTTAATTGTAACTACGTCAATTCTATCTAAATGACCTAAAATTAACATCAATCTTAGTTTTCCTGTATTTTTTTTTTCTTTTTCACTGTGAGAAACACTTTATCGACGATGAAAATGTTTCAATATTTGTTGAAATTCAGCACACTGTTTAAAGGCGATGTTAATTGTGTTTATTGTTAAAAAAATATCCGAGTGTCCACCCTCGAAATTGAATGCACTACGAAACCACCACTTTTTAGAGAAAAAACAGTTGGATTTATGTGGTTTTCACATTATTGACTAAAATGTAATTCTTTCCCACAACATTCTACTAATGAAATGCGAAGTTTCGAACAGTCGTTCGCCAGGTCGTGTTTGGTGTTTCTGCAAACCTTCAGCCGCCAATAATAACCCTTCTCAAAGTTGAACTGAATTCAATTACAACCAAACTCAAATTAAAAAAAAAAAAAGTTTAGTGCTTTATTGAGAATATTCCCAGACAAGCGTGTAAACACACAAAGAAAAAAAACCCAAAAAACATCGTCTGGAAAAGCTAAATTATACTTGCGATATAATATTCTTAGGTTAAGAATTTGTAAGATATATGTTTCACAAGTAGTGCAGGCTAGACAAAGGAAAGTGAAAAACAAATGCATCTAGACACCCGATAAACAAAAACGACTTTCCTTCGTGCTGCTCAAATTTATATATATATATTTTTTATAATTATACAAATTATTACGATTATACCAATTATAATCTGATACTGTAAAAACTCTAGCATTCAGTTTTTCTTCAAAAATTCCAGACTTTTGACACAAACATTTTATTGCGAATTCATTTAAATTCGGAAGTGCATTCGAATATATATTTAAAAAAACTATATTAATGCAGTTATTTTTTGGCTGTACAGAATCACAAGTCTTCAAACTTGGCACCACCGGGATCCCTAAGGAAACCGATATTCTTCGCTGCTTCTTATGGCCTTTTTGTATAAAAAACTAAAACGTTGCTTCAATTTTTAAATAAAAATAATTCCGTTACATGCCGTTCATTCTACAACGTATAAAACAAAAAGCAAAAAGAAAAGCTGTACATTTGTGCGTGCACCTATATCAAACCGCCCGCACGTGACAAAAAATGAAGTGAATGAGAACCATAATTTTAGTATAAGAAAACGAACATCGAAAGCTCCGCAAGGCCGACATGCTCGATATATTGTTGTGATATTTACCAGTGACCGGCTCAGAAACGCACCGGCATGGAGGAACCGAGCTCTTAGTATGGTTTTAACTTTTAACCCGATCCCGGAAACCGTGTGCAACGCAGCCAACAAGTGCTCGGAGTAGGCCCTAGACCAAAGTTTCTACAGCTTTGTTCCGTCCCCATTTGTTCATAAATATAGAGCAACCAAAGTGGTAGCTTGATGGTGGCTGCTGATAAAACAGTACAAAAAGAAAGAAAGAAAAAGGAGTTCAGGCAGTTATGTAGTGACAGATAAGTTAAAAAACTGACGGTGTGGCATCTCCCGAGCAAATTACTATTGCTCGATAGCTAATGACGTCATGACATAAGCTGCTCAAATGGCATCCGAAGAACAAATCGCGAAACAAAAAGGGTAAACATAATGTTCCACGTTTCTCGAGCCGTCCTTGAATACAGTGTAAGCGCAAGTTCGTCTGCTTGTTTTGCAAAATAAACCCTAAGATAAGTAACCAAAACGTTGACGAAATCCTGCTCTTCGCAAAGATATTGTTTTTATACTCTTAGAATTTCTCTCTTAGAAATAAAATAAAGATTACCCCACAGGACGAAAAAGGGAACGCCGTTCCTTTTTATGTTGCATTAAAAATGTAACGAGTCCCCGTTCTAGTGCCACCAGTGCAAAATGGAACGGTGGCGTTCCTTCGTTCCTCCTAAAAGGAACGCGTTCCAGGAACGCCGTTTCGCACAACACTGCGTGCAGCTTTCCGCACATTGACGTAGGACAACGACAGTGCCTTCGTTTCGCAGCTCGAATCGCACGCATAGTTACCGTCGTCCCTACAGAGGGACGTGCGCGCTCTCGACTTGGTCCTGCTGACCTTGACACGAACGGGGCCTCTCCCCTTTGTCCGCAAATCCCTCATGCCCCACGCGCGTCTTCTGTTCCAAGTAAATCCGACGCCAAGGTCGACCTTGCTTGCTTCTGGTGTGGCTGGCTGGCCCAGAGGGCACGCGTCTTTGGTGGCGTCTGGTGAGATTATAAACACACGCTAGGTGGCGCGGTCCACCGCCCATTGGCGCCCAATGGACGTTTGGGAGAAATATTGGTTCGAGCGTAAATGGATTTGGTACCCTCTCTCTCTTGCTTTTGTCCGAGCAGAGAGGGAAGATGGTTTCTTTTTATCAACTTCGGGGCTGCTGAAGGACACCCACGATGGGGACAACGGACTTGTGCAAATAGGATGTCGCTGACGTCTTGGGTGTCGAACGGGTGGGAGAGGCCTTGCGCGGGGAACAAGTATCTATTTACCTTTAGGTTCCGTGATGTCAGGTCACGTGACACCAATTTTTCCGCTAAATTTAGCGGGGAAGCTGAAAACAAAGAGGCCAGAAAGGTCTACAAAATCGGAACGATTCACGAAGCAGGAAGCTTTAAACATTATCAGCGACGCCCTGCGTTTCTGAAGCTCTTAGTAACTCCGACGTCACACCGCTGTGGTGGCGCTACTGTTGGTACCGCGCATGCTCAGACACTTCACACGAATCTGGTTTTCGCACGCGCACCACTTTAAAAGAAATCCAAGAAGGATTTAAGAGCAAAATTTGGATACTATGGACAAACCCACGCGTAAAAACCCGGAAAAAAAAAATTACTTGTGTGTGTGTGTGTACCTGTAAAAAAGTTCGCCGCGAAATGCTGCTAATTTTAATAAGCACAAAAAAAAAACACTGTTTTGTTGTGGCGCATGGGCGTATATTAATTTAGGAACCATCAAGTCTCCCTGTCAATTTAACTTTTGAGATTTCTTTTGTGTTTGTTCTTCATCTTTTTTTATTGGTGCTTTAAAAAATTGCGTTGCGAGCGATGTTTTTCGCTTTGGTGATACTTGATATCTTTAGATATGAGCTATTCTTGTCTTTCCCGTCCCGAGCGGCGAGACGAGTTGAGATAATAGGGGCTATATTAATAGCGTCAACATGACGTATTTATTGAGTTTTTGTCTTAAACTTTTTGTATTGGAATGACGTGATTTTTTTTCTATGATGTCTTAGATTCGAAGTAACAGGCTGTTATTTATAGAAGAATTAGCGTTACTCGTCATCAACTCCACATCAATAAAGTAGTTTAAAAATACCAGAGGCAATAACGGTGCATGGAAGCCAGTAAGATATTAGCAGAACAAACAAGACACGCACTTTGCATTTCAGTGGCGCGCTCAGAAGCAACATCCAGCTTAGTTTTGTTTACAATATTATGCGTATAGACCGACACGCGGGCTTGACGTCACGGCGCTGCGGCGGCGCTGCGATCGCGCCGGAGCCGAGGGGTGTGGGCAAAAGGGCGCACGTTTCGCATGGGCGTCACGGTATTTCAGCATGCCCCGAAGCTGTGTTGCCTTTAATCTCACCGAAATCTACAAGAAAAGTAGCGGAGTGAGCTTCTACAAGTTCCCGACAGACTCTGAAAGACATAGAAGGTGGATAATATCCGTGGATCGAAAATTATGGTCGCCTCGCGCGTTTGTGCGGAAAGCACTTTCTTGGAGGCAAGTGCGGATTCCATTTCAATCTCCGTCCCGAGGCTTGCTTATGTACATGGAAACCGTCCTCTGATTGAGACCACCCTGTTCCCACGGTGTTCGCGCACAAAGCACCGGCCAAGCGCTCGTCGGAGGCTCGCTACGCCCGTGCTACCCAGCAGAAGGGGATGGGCGACAAAACGGCAGTGTTGTAGGCGTTACCAAAAAAAAAGTAACGAAATACGTTACTCGTTACTTGCCAATCAAAGGTACGCGTTACTGAGCTACGTTGCCTAAAAATAAAAGGAACGCGTTACGGCCACTGATAAAAAATAACGCACGTTACTTCTGCGTTACTTTTTAAATTATGATATAACACGTTTTACGGTTTTGAAGATACAGGTATGCATAAGCTCATAGACCAAGAAATATTATGTTCATGCAGAAACAGAACATAATTACTTTATCTCTTTTTATGGTTTCACCTAAACACTGACGAGAAAAAACGCAAAGAAAAACATGGCTTGACGCCTAAAAACACGGAAAAACTTGAAGTGTAATTGTAGTAACGAGTAACGTAACTACGTTACTTGAAATAGCAACGTAAGTACGTTACCCGTTACTGTGTCGAAAAATAAACGAGTACGTTACTACGTTACTGAAAAAAGTAACGCGTTCCTGGTAACGCCGTTACTTGTAACGTGTTACCGCTAAGACTGCAGAACGGACAAAGCGTTACTGCTTGTAATGCCTTGTGGTCATGAGAGTAGGAAAAGTGGCATACCTTGACTTGAAGACGCTGTGTGTATTTATTTAATTAATGATTACAGTTCCGCAGACCCACAGTCTGCTGATCCCGCCGGCAGTGCGGAAACCGACTCGAAGTAATCGTAGGCCTCGAGAGACTTGTACGCCTGCTCCGTGTCGGCCGTGAACTGGCTTGGCGAAAAAACTAAATAAACGACGACGTGAGCCGTCGACTTCGGTGGCAGCAACTTCACGTCGGAAGTCCAGCAGCCCTTGTTTACGGCGTACGGATCCTCGTAGGCAACACCGTCCACGCACAGTTTGTTTTGATACCGCCGCCGTTCAGGCTCGGCTGGCGAGCTCAAATAGTCGGGCATAGCATACGACATACGTTGCCAGAAAATACGATGCACAAATAAAGCTAGAAGCGTCCCTACAA